CTACTAAATGTCATGCTTCAGCACTGCAGGTCTCCAGAGGTTCTGGGGAGGAGAACTGGATAGAAAGACTCTGAGGTCTATTGCCCTGTGCTTTTACCTCTAGCTTCATAGATGAAGACAAGAAAATGCTGAACTCTGAGGACATGATGGCAAATCTCTTTTCTAGATTGTAAATCTGTGCAAAACTGGCACATTTGGCCATTGGATTAAAATTTTCCACCCTTTGGAAAATATATTGGTGGATTTCATTTTCATCTGCTCTACAGGAAATGGTTCACAGGATGCGTTTTTAGGAGAACAGAGAACCAAGAGGGATTTTTTGGCTTGCTGATTCCAGTTCTCTGCCCCTATGAGCAATCATGTCGTATAACACTCTTTAGTAATTTATCAAGCTCCAACTTGAAGGCTGAAGCTAGGTGAGTTTATGCCTCCATTTTACCTAATTAATTCCTTGTGAGGAAAGAAATCTTAGGTCATGACAGTACCCTGTTTTCTTCTGTTCTGGGATGGTTACTCACAATTTAGTCGCCTGATGAAATAAAAGTTTGAGTTGGGGAATTTTCAAGTTAGAGTCCAAACGGCTGACTCCACGCGGGCCACCACAAAGTATCATGCAAGCTGCTAGGTACGAAACAGTGCGAGAGGAGGTTCCTGACTTTCTGTTAACCTCAAAGAGCTCATCTTTGTCCCCTCCCTCTTTCACCCCCTTGTGTCCCCATGGGCACCCCCATCACCCTGGTGTGCCGCTGGACCCACACAAGCCCCGTAATGCCAACTCTCAGCACCACACTCCCTAGCTAGTACTTGGCTGTGGGAATACAGTGCAGAGATGCTAAAACTGGCTTTTGCCCACACAACTTACCACTGTTGTTTCCAGCAGGACCCACTGCCCCTTTTAACATTAAGTATTTGAGATATATAAACCTGGCTCAGACAAAGTTTTTTTTCTCTCTGGCCTTAAGTTTAACCAGTGCTGAAATGCACTAACATAAGATATATATCGCTGTGTAGTCTTTTTTATTTGCCTCCCTCTTGCTTTCCTACACACATACAAATGCACACAGTCTTCAATATCAAAAACATCACGAAAAAGATCAGTAATGTAAAAGTGTCTGGCTGGCAGAAGGGGAGGGCTCTCCTCCGCCTCTTTTTATGTCTCTCAGTCACCTTCACTAGACTACGTAAGGTTTCCATGTTAGGGGAAAAATATGATTTCAGAGCTTTGAATTGAATATTGGATCTAAAAATTTTGTACATGTTCCAGTAAATATCAAGTGTATTCACATTCTGCACAGTGACATTATCTTCCCAATCGTGTAATGGTACATAATTAGCAATGAGGGACCTTCTTTTTATGTTATGTCCTTAGGATTTAACACCTGCCAAAAATATTGAATGTTTGAAATTCCCACGCGTTTCCTACCCATGATTCTTTCTCTAAAAATCTGGATAAATGTTAGTAACACCTAATACACTCATGGAAACCAACGTCTCTTCTGAGATGATGATGCTGCCGCAGACATATTTCTTTTCATTCATAGGCATATCATATCAAAAGGTGTATTCGGATAAAGCCAGCACGTGGAAGTAGGTTATTTAACCTGTAGCAGGTAAACTGAAGAAATCTGCTGTTTGATCTTGAAGAGGATTGACTTGAGTTATTAAAAGCAATAAATACAAGCTGTAGTTTCTCTGTCTTGTCACATTATCAGCAACCTTTAAAATGAATAGTTTGATGGGAGATAGCAACATTTTTCATCACTGTTCAAAGAACAAAAATTCCTGAGTTTTTCTTCATGCATCCGGAGAGCTGTAAAACTAACCAAGGACAAATATGAGGCTGCTGAAATATGAAACAATTAAAGGAAATCCCAGCCTAAATCATAATCTCCAGATGGAAAGTGTAAAAAAAAGAAAAAGTTTCATTGGATGCTCATTCTACACTTTCTCATTCTTTTTTTTCAGTGAACTCTGCTTGCATTTGAAATAAAAAGATTTTGTAGGAGAATTCAGCATATATACCTATGTCTCCTCAAGAAGCAACTGAAAAACTGAAAAGTAGTTTTCAGCAAGTTGCTTTAAAATTCTGACACAGTGTTCCTTTTTTGCTTCTAATGACAGTGGTATGAACCTTCTGTCTGGCAGTGATTGACAGTAGCTAAGATCTGGGTTCAATTTGTAGGGCTTACTGATCATACTCAAGCATCATCATCATGAGCTCTGGCCATCTGAAAAAATGGTTTCAACTAAATCAGCCTCTATGCACCCAGTAAAGTACCTCTCCACTCTAAGCATTTTGCTGAACAGAAAACATCTAGCCGATCAGGGGGTTACTGGAGGGCAAAGAAAAGGGGAAGAATCACAACGTATCAGTGCGGAAAGCGTAAATGCCTCAGGGAAAGCAACTGCTGCCCTCAGAGCAGGCTGGCAATGGTGCCAAGTCCTCACCCCGCAGATGCACGTGGCCAAGGGAGCAGGTGACTCTTCATCTGCCGCGGCTACCACGTGGACATATTGTTTGGTTGCCCGTGATTTTTCTAATAGATGATGATACATTTATTCCCCTTGGAAGTTCTTCTCTTTCTTCAGGGTTAGGGCTTGTGCTGTTGTAAATTCAAAGCACCTCCTCTCATTTAATCAAGACATTCAAAACCTTTAAGGACAGAATTCAGTTCCCCTTTTCAAGGAGTAAAAGACTGCTCATTTCGTTGGAACTGAACTCACATCGACGATTTATTTGACAGCTCGTGCTTTACATACCTCTGTCTCCCATCAGTCAGTGGGAGTGACAGTGTGCTATACTTGCCAGTATAATGAATGGTGATGAACATTTTTATCCATCAGGATACCTCAAGCTATGACGATTTTATTTTCAGGAAAAGATACTTCTCAATAGAGGAAAATGAAAGAACTAAGGGCTTTACCAAGAAAATAAATTCTTGTGACATTCAGAAATAAAATGAACAGAATGAAAATTAGTCTAATATTTGAAATATTAAATTAAGACAAGGCTATGATGTATCAACATGCTTTAGCTTTTTGGTGGCGAAGATTCCATTTTAATTACGACATCTCAGGATTTGATGCACTCTACTTATTAAAATAAGTTCTGTTGCACAAACTTGCAATTCTTTATTTTTCTTGCAAGAGAAAATAGTGGAAAGAGGGTTTGAAACTGATCTGAGAGATCCTCCGGCTTACCAAGTCATTGTAAGCCCAGATCATGTTGACGCATTTAAAACATTATTTGCTGCAACTTGCTGATAAGCTTTATGGGTGTATGGCCCAGGTAACAATTTTGGTGGTCCAGCTTCTCTGATCTGCTGCTGACAGTTACCCATATCAGCTGTTTGTTCCTGAGGAAAATGAGAGAACTTTCATCTTGAAATACCCTGTTCAGAGAGAAATTCTCATGCTGCTTCTCATTGCTGATGACTTTCCCACAAAGGGTTAAGGTTCATATTTCATACACTTGATAATGTGAAAGGTTTTGTTATCTGTACAAGTGTCCATGTCTGAACTCAGCTGCTTTTCAACTAGATTAAGGTCAGTGTTTAATTCTGTTTTACAGTTATCATCTCAATAGATGCATTCAGTAAACTAAAATCACTAAATTTCCTCATTTTATAGTTTACAATACTTTACAAAATATAGTTTACAATACAACAATACTGTTGCATTTCCATGTACTCTTAGAACACAAAACTAGCCCTAGTCGTAGAATTCTTTAATTTGTAAATTTTTATCATCTGCTGCGGTATCTGAGTCCCGACCAAACTAAATAATCCCAGCATTTCTTATCAGGTTGTATCTTGTTCACAGGCATCTGAAAATCAGATTTTTTTCATTCAGGTGCTTAACTCAGTATTTGGATACATCATTTTAAACACCAGCTTTGAAAGCCACCAGTCTTCCGTTAACTATCACAGTATCTTTACTCAGTATTTTTTAAAATCTATTTCATACAAAAAAGTCCAAAACAAAACAAAACAAAACAAAACCAAAACAAAGATTCAACATTAAAATGATGCCAGATCCAAATCTTAAGATTCATTATGAAAAGTAGATGTAGCTGATTCTTCTTTTTTAACAATGGGCAAAACAAAACCTCATACAACTCTTCAGAGAACAGAGGTTTGACATTCACAACAGAAGGTTTATGGACATCCATTATCTGCAATGTATTTAAGAGGAAAATAGAATCAGGTCCAAGAGAATTTATCACGTAAGTACATAATTATATATTTTATTAATCCCCATACATTCTCCATTAATTCTGGGTCTCTGTCATTAAATATCTTGGTTATTTTCCTTTGTAGGGGTGTTATTATTGCTATTTGTTATATTTAGCAGCAGGACCTACAAACTCCAACAGGGAATTAACACTGCATTGTATTAAAACTGTCCAAACAATCAGCTCAAAGCCTGCTTGTGTTCCAGGGGACTTGTATTTTAGAATGGGGTGTGGAAAGGAAAAGAATTGGCAAAGGAAATCTGAAGTACACTCATTAAAATATTAATGCCTACAGTTACAGTCAGGCCCAGCTTGCTCCTCAAACTAGCTGAAGAGCAATGGCGAATACTTAACAATCCTCATACCCTAAATTAAAATACTAATGAAATGGTGCTTTTTAAAAACCTCTTGACACTTGTCCTATTGAAAATTCCCACCAAATACAAGTGTTTTTGAATGTTTAAGGAAGGCCTCCAACACAGAAAATCATTAAAGGAAAGGAAAAGGAATTTTCATCTCTCTATCTCTGGACATTTTGGGGTTCAAAAAGTTTCAGAGAAGGAGGAGATTTGGTATTGTTCTGAGTCAATTTGCTCTGGCTGAGGAAATGACGAGAAGGAAACTACTTCCCCGTCTCGGGAACCATGTGGTGTTCCAAGATAAGGCGAGAACTTGCTAATTCAAGTCCACAAGCAGGAAACATGATACATCCACTTCCTTTCAGGCAAACAACAGAGTTCCCTGGCAGCACAAAAGCATTGCTTCTACTGCTAAATCTCAAACGGTCAGAAACCCATTGCTCTTCTGTGGACATACCATTCTATATTTGTTATTTGGATGTTATGGATAGAAACAGTACTTACTCTCCAATCACATGGCCACCAAAGTTTTGGGGTAAGGATTTTGCTTCTTTTTCTAGAATATCGTTAAAGTAGATGCTGAGATTTGCTGGTGATTGCCTTAAAAAATGCATCTAGATACTTTTAAGCCTCATGTTGGAAGCAAAAATAATGAACTGTGTTTCTTGCAGCGCAAAAGATTGTTTTCCAAATGTTTCTTTGACAGAGCTTTATCATGTTTTTAAGCTAATCAAGACAGCAGGAACTACCAGGGCAGAATTGATTGTTTGACAAACTTCATTACTGAAGTCAGTTGAAAAGGTGTCTATTGACTTCAGTATGTTTCAGATCAGGCAGATATTCTCAACCCTTTAATGGATGTACCTACACAGCAGACATGATCCGTTTCATCTTCTGATGAAAAAGAGAGAGCAAAAACTAAACGTATTGCAACCTTTGAAACAGGCTTTTTACTCCTCCAGAATAAAAAAATTATCTGTAATTCGTTGTGGTGCCTCATGATCAGATATTCCTTACTTTTTTCTCAACGCATATTTTGAGGAAATCCATTAAGACTGTTTTTTTTCACCCAAACCTGGGAATGGTTCTTTAACTGAAATGTATGGAGTGTGAGGTGGAAATATATGTTATACTGAAATTCATTTAAGGTGATTAGGTTCAGTGACTTGATCCTAAAGGATTCTGTGCAACAGCTGTGGAGAACACTCCCTCCAAAAAGGTCTATTGCTTACTATGTTTAACATTAACACCTATTAAAATTTAGCATTAGAGAGAATTATATGATCTGTTTTTGTCTATTATTATCATTGCTATAGAGCAATGACCCCTCCAAGAATCCGTGCACTATCTAAAACTGAAAAATAATATGCATTAGCAAAATAGGACTTTTGTTGCATAGAAGTGCCCTGGGCAAAGAGTGGAAAATGACTATACAAGAAGATTTAAAGAAGTTCCTTCATTTCCTTAGCAAGAGAAACAATAATCTGTCGAATGCCATCCACATGTTTCCTGCAGTGACACATATCTTTTCCTACTGGGAGACCATGAGCGACTCACTTCATTTTTGTGTCTTGGGTTAAAGAGTAAGACAATGGTACTGGACGTCTTTGAGACAGATTAACTGAGGAAGAAATACTGTTGTTATTGTTTCAGAGTCTCTTGTTGTCTGGAGGTTGCCCGCTGGACTCTGAAGAATAACTATAATTTTTGTGGAGTGGAACTACATGTAATGGCCCTTTCAGAACAAAAATGAAAGTGCTTTCATCAACATGTACTTTAAGAATTCTTGTGTAAAAGGTGCTGCCTCATGTTACTGCAGTTTTGCTTTTATTCTGAGGTAAATTATTGCTTCACTGTTATAGAAACACCAGAAACAGCAAAGTTATATTAAACTCTAAGGATTCGTTCACCGTACTGCTCAGACTGTGGGCAAGGCGTTCTCCATCCTCACGAAGAGTCAAAAAAAGTACCTAAGAAGCGAATGTTTAAAACCCACAGCATGCATGCTGCATGGCCCTGCTGGCACTGCTGCTACTCTGTCGTTCCACCTAAGGGACTTCTCCAGGTGCACCAAGCCCTGGTCCTTGGATATCGAGAGCTGCCGTTGGCAACACGGAGCGGGACACGCGCGGGCTGCCTCGCGGCTGAAAGGGCCAGCACCTCCTTTCAGCGGCACTGCCCCCCGGGGGCCGGGCGCGCACCCCGCACCCAGCCCCGCTCACCTCCCGTTCGCTCGCGCAGCCCCTGACAGCAGGTGAACCTCGCCGCTTGGGTTTTTGTGAGGGGCTGGCATGGTCCTTGGAAAGGAAGATGCCTCCTAGGTTTTTCTTATTTTTCTGACAGATTTTAGAAGGGTTAAAAGCATTTCCCCTTCCTTTCCTGTAGGTATATCGTATGTGGTAGACTAGGAACTAGGGACACTATATAGTCTCTGTCAGAAGACAATGAATGACACAAGCTCACTGTGAGGAAACTTCACCTAAAATAGTAGAAGTGCATTTTCTGACATCCTTGGATGGCCTGAGGTAAAAAGAAACTACACATAATAGATATAAATAAAATTGAGTTCTTTATTAAATGAGAATGCAGTACTTGAAACTGTGATTTTTCAGGATATTGCTAACAGGTGGTTTCACAGTTTTTCTAAGCCACTCACCACATAGTGCTGTGAGTCTGAACACATTACCAAGATGCAGATCATTTTCCATGCACGTGTGACTTCTCAGCAGCTCCCATGGACTTGGCCAAACTGTAAACTTCAACATGTGTGCAAAGGTTTGCTGAGGGGAACTAACTTTGTGAGAAAAAAAAATGCTGTAAAAATTTTTAAAGCAACTATTTATAATGATTTTTAATCTCTTACAATTTTATAAACCATCTATTGTCTAACAGCTGGTTCCCTACTCTGAAAAATACAGAGTCATCCTGTTTTCTAAAGCTGTCTCCGATGGTAACTTCACACAACAGCATCTTAAAAGTGACTCGAAGAATTTTAAAACAATGGACAAATTAAACTGCCTTCCACTTACTTATGTGTGAGCACATATAAATCTTTTTACAACTCCTCCAGGCTAGTGGAAGTGTGCATGAATAAATCTGTGTAGATAAAAACAAGATATACACACCTTGATATAAGTCATGCTGTGTGAATTACCTAAGTAGTCTGAATCCTCTCTCTATATTCATGCAAAGACCTTAACAAATAATAATACTTTAAAAAATTAATTAGCACACTTTTTTTGCAAGCTCAGTGTAATGTCAGAGACAGCCTCAAGAGTCAGTCACATGCTTAGATGCAGATCTTGCAGGACTTCTGAATTCAGTCTTCACCATCATCATTCTGCAGTAGTTTTGAAATGTTAAATTATGCAGCGGAGTAAAACGGAAGCAGCAAAACAGTAGTTTTGCTGGCCTAAAATAATGTTTGCTGGGAAAAAAAAATTAATATTAACCTCTTCTTCTGGTTTAAATTCATGAGTTTCATGATAGTGCTGCTGGCCCTGTGGGCAAATATCCTCTGTGCGACGTGTCACAAGCCCAAAATCGGGATTCGGATTCTCACTTTGCTAGAGCTGTTCCCTACTACAGATGTTGTGCAGAGTCTTTGTAGACATTTGTGCCTGTTTCAGACAAGCTGTCTGAGCTACTGCAAGGATGCAGGAGCTCAACTCTTTCAGGTGCCAGCTTCTGTGAAGCTGTGTAACCTCTGGTCACCCTACTTTGCAGTAGGAATCCATAGTATGGTACTTTGGCAGAGGTAGGAAGAGAAGCACTTCAAGCCAGCTTCTGCTGAACTTCTTCACTGTTGATATCACATAGGACTGTAGACAGAGAATCTGTTGTTTTTTTTTTTTATTGATAGTTTCAAAATGGATGTTTGGCAATAGCTGAGTGAGAAATTCAGGGTTTGGTACCCATGCATCAACTACTAATTTCATTTTTTACTGTTTTAATATAGTCTTTATTGAGTTCATTTTGATTTATAAGTTAACAGTGGGAGCAAAGATGTTTCCATTTTAACCAGGAGTGCATTTCTTGTAATCCCTAAAAGCATTTTCAGTCGCACACAATTAAATACAATAAATGGCTTTGAGACAATCCTATTTCTCCACTTCAGATAGTAATATACTTTCAGATCAGGAAATTTAATTTAAATAGTACATTTGATCAATATGACAGCAGCAGAGAGAAAAAGTGTAAGCAGATATTAATCAACATAAACTTAGATCCCTAGACTATCCTTCAGTCTAGTTTTACTCAAGTATCTATTTAAGAAGGCAACATTACTATTTAACACCTTAAAAACATTGAGGACAATTTTTCTTTTCTTGAATCAGAATCCAGGGTGGTTTTTGCCCAGTGTGTGGAAACAATGCTATATATCAGCTGGCTTCCAGCATTTTAAGATTGCGAATTGCCTGGCACTAATACTTTAAGAATTATCACTTGATTTTATAAGCTACAAAAGCACTCACGGTTTTAAATACAATGGCAAATTTTGCCTTGTCTCTCCCTCAATCCACCAGTCTTCTCATTCAAAGGTGTCTGCTTGAAAGAGGTCAGACTATATACTCTGCTGGAAGAGACGGTCGTTAGGGATGAGCATATTCTAACGTCTGAGACTGTGTCGTGCTATCATGTTACTGGTGTGGCAATAATGATGGTTAAGGACTTTGTGTCATTCTCTTTATGAACTGAAATACTACTTGTGACGGGCAGCACTGACACGAACTGTGACCCAGCTGTCAAACACAGGGAAGTCCAACCTAGACAGCCATGGGATCTGGTTTCTCTTCTGGGGTCTTTCAGGGGTGGTAGCTGTGGCAGAGAAGAAGCAACAGCAGCAAATCCAGCCCAGTTCTTTACAAGTGAGAAAAGAAGCATTTTGTTGTGTGGTGACCAGGTTAACCCTGTTGGCTTCCACCCTGATGACTGTGTCAGTGCATTTCCAGCATACCCCCCTGGGTGGTCTCTTCTCATTCCCTTTGCTCCCTTCCAGACACTTTGTACGCCTCCAGTCTAGCCTTAGCAGCATCAAATAAAGACTCTGGGAGCTGCCTCAACTGCGCTGCTGGAGATGTGGAGACACGCAAAGGCTACAGTTTGGAGCCAATTGTGGAACTCTTGGCAGCGGTAGCTTCTACCAGGTCATTCTCTTCCTAGCTTGATGGCTGGAGAAGACCAGCATAAACCAGAATATCCCAGAGGGCCTTTATCCTGGTAGACTTGGCATTGCTGATAGGACAGAGGACTTCAGTAAGCTGAAGACGCAGTTCCTTTGCTGGCAGACAGGAGGGAGTGAAGGCGTGACATAGAGGCACTTACAGGTGCTTTTACACCAGTGAAGACTGTTTTCTTAGTAGACAACCTTCAAGGTTCAAGTGGAACAAAATAGGAGGAAGACTTGGCAAAATGAGAGCCTTGGATTCAGGTGCAGTATCAGCCTCAAGGATGTATTTCCTGAACTGCTGTTTTTCTTCTCCCCTCCCCTTCTGTTCCCTTTTCTCCCTCTTCACAATTTCACCCTGGCATGTA